GACCACGGTTTTTCAATCTTTCTTGGAGAAACTGTTTCTTCAAATGACAGCTTAGGGGAAGCCCAGTAAATAACACCCTGCTTCTCTGGTTGAGTTAGGGGTAATAAGAACCAGGCTCCCAGGATCCCTACCTCTAAAGAACTGTTGGTATTCCCGAAACATAGTTGAAAACTAGCGACGGGACAGTCTCCAAGGTCTTTTTTAATGTTAAGATTTGGTAAGCCAAGATAGGAGCTTGAACATGCTTTAAAATAACGATCTTGGGGCGCCTGTGTGGCTCAGTCGGTTGAGCGGCTGCCTTCAGCTCAGGTCATGATCCCAGGGTCCTGAGATCGAGCCCCACGTCCAGCTCCCTGCTCAGCGGAGAGCCTGCTTCTCCCTCTCCCTCTGCCTGCCACTCTGCCTACTTGTGCTCTCTCTCTGTCAAATAAATAAAATCTTTAAATAAATAAATAAATAAATAAAATAATGATCTTGCTCCAAAAGTTTGGACGCTGTCTCTCAGTTTTTCCTGCTTATATACCCTGAACCTGGCTGCCTCCAATGATGGCCCCATGGTTTTGTTTTCCACATGCAGCCTCCATAATAAGAGCAAGTAAAATGCCCACTGCCTGGGCTGGGACATAATCACAATATGTTTTGCCAGGGCTGGATCTCATTGCAAGGGATGTTTATAGACACAGGTGGTCTGAGCTGAGCAGTCATCGAAGAGGAATTTATTCCACATTCGCTGGGTATCTTATCTCTCTGTGTAGGCTTCATGCTGGACCCTGGGAAGATAACGTCCAGTAAGATATGATCCCTGTCTCCAAAAAGTATCCAGTCTAAGGGAGCGACAGTCTTGTACAGGTGGGGCACAAAATGCTGGGGAAGCACAGAGGAGCACATGATGGGCATCAGGGAGGGGGGCAGATGTCAGGCAAGGCTCTGGATGCTTCCGTGGAGCTTTGAAAGGCATGTAAGAATTAACCTGATGAAGGGAGAATGGCATTTGAGGCAGGCAGACATATCCCAAAAGACCAGCACAGAGGTGAGAAGCTCACAGGTTATTCTGGGAACTGCTGCTCATCCAGAATGAGTGGAGCTAAGGGAGTAGGTGGGGGCCTAGCCCGAGAGGGGCCTGGAGAAGCTGACCAGATGCTGAAGTTCCTGTGTCCTGTGAGCTAATTGAAAGGGACTTGGTTCTGAAAGCTCAGGGGAGCCTGGGAAGATTCCTAATGGTTTGAACTGATTTTTCTTGCAGCCCTTTCAGCTCCTGAGGTCCTCAGAGCTCAGAGGTGGTCCTATGAAAATGAGAGATGAGTCTGCTCACTGGATGTTACAAATGACACCATTAAGTCTGGAGCGTGGACAGTTGCCTTCTATTCCTGGCTTGGCTCCTGATGCAGGCAGTGACCTTTCAGTCATCTCTTCCCTTTTCGTGTACTAAGTCTCTCCTTCAGCAGAACAGGGATAGAAATGCTGCCACCAACCTGCCACATTAGGAGAACTGCCAAGACCAAAGTGCTCTGGGCAGCACAAAACAAGTTCTCCTTAGTTGGGACACAATGCCTTTTGAAATAGGGTTTGGAGAAATTAGAAATGTCTAACACATGCATTTTGTTCTTTAGCTGACAGCAGGAAAAGTGGCATACCTGTGTCTCAGAGCAAGGGCTGATTCCAGAGCCACCCATGACTTCTCAGGGCCTGGGCTGGCTGCTGGAGTTAGGGTTAGGGGTAACTGGGAGGTTGCCGTCTCCTCTGAGCTGGAAGTAGGGAAAGACAGGGTTGGTCCACAGAGAGCAGCCACGCGTCTCACCAACCAGCAGGTTCCTGCTGACCTCACGGGCTTGTGGGAAGGGCAGAGCGGATACATACAAAGGGCTTGCTCAGCGCCTGGCACGTAGTGAGCTTCCAGTAATCCATGCTAGTGGTTACCATTAATGTGTATAAATTGGGAGGCCAGCTCTGAGCTCACCAGACCTCTCTGCACGGAGCACATATTTTTTGAGACTGTGATATCGTCTGCTGTTATTCTCTTTTAAAACCATAAGCACTTCGTGGTGGGGGCCACGGTCGGGGAAGATGTGCATCCCCACGGTACCCAGTAGCGCTCTTGAGCCCTCCTTGCCCCTCTTCTGGGATAGCACTAGGCCATTTACCTTGTATTTTAATTATTCATGTCAGTGTCTTGCTTGCTCAACTGTGAGCGCCTCAAGGGCAAGGAATGAACCCTGAAATCTGCCCAGAAACACTCATGCTTAGCCGGGCCCTGCTGCAAAGGCCTCAGCACTTGCCGTTCTCTCAACCTGCTACTTTCCCGCAACTCATGTATTGCCTCTCGCCTCTGCAGAGATGGCTCTCCTGACCACTAGGTTATTGCTTCCACTCCACATTCTAGCACACTATTTTTTTTTTTTTAATTTTCATAGCACTACCAGTATTTGAAATAATCTTATTGGTTTATTCATTTGTCTTCTCCACAAGGATATAAACTCCATGAAAACAGGGGCCTTATTTGTCCTATTTGTTGCTGTATTCCCCAGTTTCCTATAACTATGCTTGGCACAGAATAGGTACTCAATAAATATTAATGACTGCTGAATCAATGCTAAATCAAATGACCGGGGGTGGGCGTTTATACCTCTTCTCCAAGACTGAACAAGACATCGGTATTGTGGAGACTGCAAAAAAACCCAGAACACGTAGTTCCTGCTTCCAAACTGTTTGAGGAAAGAAGTAGCAGCATAAACAACCTGAGAATAGGACAAAGCAAACTGTGACGAGGTGCTAGATGTGAGGCCCGAGGGAAGAGAGACATGGGCAGTGGCCAGAACACACCTGGAGATCAGGGATCATCCTCAACTTCCTGTGTCGGCACACCTAACATGGCGGTTGTTGGAGTAAGTGCTCTGTGAGGGACTGCTGAATTGCCCGGAGCCCACAGCCTGCCAAGGTCATGCCAGAGGATTGGTGAGATACAGAGATGGTGTATAAGCTTGGCATCTTGGCTTGCAAATATTACTACTAAGTTCCAATCTATACGTGTTGAGGGAGTCTCTTAAATTCAGAGTATTTAATTATAGGTACATATACATAACAAGATAATGTTTTGGCTAAAATCCATGTCACTTATTTATTCAACAAACAACTGAGTATCTTCTATGTTCCAGGCAATGTCCTTGGCACTGAGAATGGAGATAAACCCTGGCCCTCAAGGAGCTCACAGTCTAGTGGGGAAAAAAGATACATACATACATACTTATACTGTACAGAATGCAAAGGGAAACCACTATGGGGGGCAAGAGCAAAGGAACCAATCCTAAGTTTAATGTCCACAGGAAGGAAAGATCTTGCTAATGGGTGTTTTTTTGTGAAGAACAGTAAGGCAATGGTTCTCAAAGTGTAACTGGTTAATGACCTACATCCAAATCATTTGAAGCACATATTAAATGCAGACTCCCAGCACTTCCTGCAAAGATTATGATCCAGCAGGTTGGGGTACCTGAGAACCTGCATTTTAAAGTGCTCTAGGCAATTCTATTGCAACTTAAGGTTTGAGAACTTCTGAGATAAGGTTTGCTTTTTACACTGCAACGAAGAATGATCTGCATGTCTGAAATGGTTAATTTGTGTTGGTCTTTAAAGAGAAGAGGGGAATTAGAAAAGAGGAAGGGTGTTGACATTTATTAAGCTCTACTGTAGTCTATGTATAAGCCTATTTAATTCTTACAATAATCCTATGAGGTAGATATTATTATTATTATCATCCATATTTACAGACAGAGAAATAGAATCAGAGGGTTTAAGTAATTTGTTCAACAACATAGAGCTAATGAATCCCAACACTAACATCTGAACCCAGATTCATTTAACTCTAAAGCTTGTCCACTTTCTGTAACACCATGTTGCACCTGGGTACAAATTTACTGACTGTTAACATTTTCTTTTGGTTCCTTGACAGATCATACCAGGTAAAGATAAAGAATAGCCAGATGGCATTTTGATCATGTCCAATGTAACTGTCCATGTATACATCCCTTTCTGGCAAATGGGGATTTAGGGCAAGGCTGGGAGGAACGCGCAGCCAATTCTTATTTCTTCTCCCATCATCTTTTCACCCTCTGGTGGAGGCGTTATGAAAATGTACAATGACCAAGAACTGGGTCCATCTGAAGGGAAAAGCAAACATAACCGGATACCCACGGAGGCAACTCCACCTGATGCCAAAGATTCCTGGGACTCAAAACATCCAGACTCAAGTTTCTCAAAAAAGGAACTGTCAGAACCAGAGGCAGGTCCAGAATTTGCATCAGGAAACAGCTCAACCTTTAGAGAAACTGTGAAAGGCTAGCAGCGATTCCAGGTTTAAGAAACACTATCTCTTTCTACACACAGACTCCGAAGGACGACAAAACAGACACAGCCCAGAAAATAACACGAAGTCCAATCCCATCTAAAGAGCTTGGGGACAGGTCCAACCTATAAACAAAGTTCCGCAATAAAGAAAATACACAAACACACCAGCTGCAACTACCGGTTACCTTCCCACTTACCGACTCAGGGTCACACAAGCAGGCCTCAGGCAGGAGTAGCAAAGTGGAGCACACCAGATCAAGAAAAGGCAAGGCATCGTAAAGGGGGTCCACAACACTACTGGGGGCCCTGGGACCTCAGATTCAGGAGGCTGGTGTGTAACCACTGCCCTCTTCTAGCACTGAGCTTGGAGCCACAGCAGTGACACTACAAACCAAATGGGAGCTTCCAGTGCCGGGGAACGCCTTTCTTATTTGTGGCATTTCAAGCAAATGCTGAGTCCAAAGATGAGATTTGCACTGACACCAAGGACAGCACATAGGTTAGATTTCACTGCTCAGTGTAAAAAGACTGTAAGCCAGACTTTATTTTATTGCTACATTTCCCCCATACCCAGTTTGGGAACATTTGCTTCCACCTACTTTTTCATACAGTACTGGCATGGCTTAGAGTTGTTTTAAAAAAACGAAACAAGACAAAACATGCAAATCAGGATGGATCCTCTCCTTACGAAAGTGTGGATTTACTTACACTGCACTGATCCACCCTCTCCAAATACACAGCTTCTAACAGGCAGAGTTAGAGGAGCAGGTGTAACAAACTGTGGTTTAAAAGTACGCCGGGACCGTACTTGTGCGTTTCACTAGACCCGAAATCTACTGACGCTCCAAACCAGCTACACTAGAGGCACTCTGGGGACATCTAGATGAAGTCTGAATCCTGATGGCAATATCTGGTCGTTCTAGAGTCTAAACAGGATATTTGCGTTATACCTTTGGCCAGCCAAGGGGCACATAGGAAGAGTATGCAAAGCCCACATCTAACTACAGCAGGTCTTCAAGCTTACTATCCTGTCACAAGTTTATAAATATGAAGAACTAATCATCCGGGAGCTGTGTGGTCAAAAGGAGATACATAGCACAATTATACTGTGTAAAGTCAAGTCGCCATCCTGTGGATCCTTAGCTCTCTCTGGTTATGACCTCAAACACTTTAAAAGGAAAGCTTAAGTATGCTAGGAGATAATTATCAGAATGTTTGGGTACCTCTGTTCCTGAATATCAAGTAATAGGGCTCACCTCCACGATTACTTCTTGCAATAAGCACGCAGGACAACCCATTAGAGACTGCTCCTTATAGCTCCTAAGCTCCCAAAAGTTCAAGGGGCAGGTGGGCTGCAGAAAACTACCCTGGGCTAAGCAGACTCTGTAAGCCAACCCTCACAGCTCTAAGTCTTATCCTGGTTCTGGGCACACTTCAGTTCTGCTCCAAGTCCACTTTGCTCCAATTCAGCGATGACAGACATATATTTGAACTCATTTGGTCTGAAGTTAAAGGTCTCCACTAACCCGTAGGTCTCCTTCCGGTCAGTGGCATAGAAGAGCTGAACTTGGTTGGCAATGCACTGTGCCTCAGCAACATTCTGAAAGGTAAAAAGAATAGTGAGGTCATTCCCTGCACAGGGCCATAACGCTCTGTGGCAAGTGGAGGGACCTTACCAGGAGTCACTGTTTTCAGAAAGCTTCTCTGACGCCCTGACATCCAAGTCTTGGTAAGGTTCCCCTTGTCTATGCACCCAAATTACCCCATGCTGACCTCTACCACAGTACGTGTCATACTCTATTGTATCTGTCCTTTTCTCTTTTGCTTTTTTGTCCATCTTCCCTTGTATGACTTCCTCAAAGTACATGCTTGCTTTACATCCCTGCACATGGTCATATCTAGCCAATGTTTGCTGAATAAAGTAACACATATGTTTGAAATGTCCCTCTTCATTCAGTTCCTTAGTAACTATTAAGTATATCTTCAAGGGGGGTGGGGAAGAGCAATAGTTACTCAGCTTCTAGAACCAGTTTGCGAGTCACTCGAGTTCTTAACTAACCAGACATACTCTTGAGTAAAACCTGTTTCTGATACCACCTCAGTCAGAAAAGTAGTGCTGAAGCCAGCTGTGTAGTTCTATAATTTGTCCACAAACTCCATGACCCTTCTCTCTTTGACGGAGCCTAGTTTCCCTTTCCTTGAGTGTAGGCTGTACTTACTGACTTCGTTCTTTCAAATGGACCATGGTGAAACGATGCGAGAATGACCTCTGCTACAAAGTCACATTAGACACGGCAGCTTATGTCTTGCTATCTCTCTTGAATTACTCACTCTGGGGAAAGTCAGCTGCCAAAGTCATGAGGACAAGTAGCCCGATGAAGAAGCTGATGGGGCAAGGAAATGAGGCTTCTTGCCGACAGCCATGTGAGCGGGCTTGGAAGTGGATCCTTGAGCCCAATCAACCTTCTTCAGGTGACTATGGCCTGAGCCAACATCTTGGCAGCAACTTCATGACAGACTCTATGCTAGAGCCAACCAGCTATGCTGCTCCTGAACTCCTGACCCACAGAAACTGGGAGGTAATAAAGGGTGTGTGTGTGTGTGTGTGTGTCTGTGTGTGTGTGTGTGTCTGCGTGTGTGTTTTAAGCCACTAAGTTTAGCAGTAATCTGCTATGCAGCTACCTCTAACTACTCTGCCAGCAAAGCTCCAGAGAAGCAGAGGGTCCACCTTCTCTCTAAAGCTCAGTGGCAGAGACACGGTGCATGCTGTGTAACAGAGGTGGGGTCAGGACACAGCTATATACTCTACCCTCAAAACCTTATAAAGCAATGTCCTCAAACTACTAGTACTTTTGCTTCCTATACGTTTCACTCGTCCTAGCTGGCCAGAGGCACTTATTCATTATCACTGTGTTCATATGGCCAAACCCCAACCCCCCAAAATACTGGAAAATTCCCACTAAAACTATCAAAAGTGTGCTATGTCTAGCTACAGAATGATGAAAACGGATTTATAAATACCAGAGGCTCCTTTACCTCCACTCCCTCCCAGGGGGCTTTCAGGTCATTTCTCATAGGCAGGGACTAATCTCTGAGACTGGATTTTCAATCAAAAGCCTTTTTCCAAAACGCTGGCTATTTCAAATTAGATATATATATACATATATAATAGAATTTCAGAGCTAGAAGGGGGCTCAGAGATCACCCAGTCTTCATTTACTAGGCCAGGAAACCAAAGGAGATGAGGTTCAGGAATGGGCCCAAGGTCTTATGGCTAGCAAGTGGCAAACCTCTGGACTCCAAGACTGGTACTCCCTCTACTTCATCCTGATACTGTTTCTGGTGGGGCAAGATAATTAAGACTGATCAAGGTTGATAACCCTAATTCATCAATTTTACCTTTCCTATACTCAAACATGCATCAAGAGTAAACTTGTTTCTAAAGCAAGCACACTGCCATTATTGGAGGCAGATACCACTACTTTCTGGGCCCATGAACTAGAGGGACCTCTGATAACTGACTTTAATTTGAGGCTCTGGATAGTGGAGGTAGGGGTAGTTTCGGCTGTATTCATTCTAGAACAGTGCTGTTCAAACTGCAGAATTCTAGAGGCTCGGTGGAGGTGCCTCAGGTCCCTTCACCTCTGTTTTAGCTGTTTTATCATCGGTTTCACATAATAAGATCTTGTCTGGGGGCGCCTGGGTGGCTCAGTTGGTTAAATGTCTGACTGTTGATTTTGGCTCAGGTCATGATCTCGAGACCCGCATCAGTAGACTCTTTCCCTCTCCCTCTGCAGCTCCCCCTCGCCCCCCGGCTCTCTTGTTCTCTCTCTCAAATAAATAAATAAATCTTAAAAAAAAATAAGATTTTGTTTTGATAAAGGTTTCTGACCACTAGTTTAAAGACCACTAGTATGGTGGGTAAAGAGACATGTGTATTTGTCTCTCATGGAGGGTTATGGAAAACCCTCTCCCCACTGCCTTAGTTCTCAACATGAAGCAGTAGTCTCCTACTTTTCGAGGACCTGAGAAGATAAACATATTAATTCCTATGTTGCTCAGTAAGGAGGTATACTAACAAACCTGATTCCTCCCTTTCTTTCAATCTTCATAGATACTATCACCTTACCAAATCCTGCCCCTTTTACTCCCTATATCTTTCTGGGGTCATTCTCTCTCCACTATCCTTACTATTCTACTCTGAAGTCTTAACTATCTCTTGCTCACACTACTGCAACTGTCTTTTAAATGATCACACTGATTGGGATAGAACTAAAAAATATTTAGGAAGCAAATAATTAAGATTAATAGCATTGAAGTCTAACTCTTTACGTGTTACTCCCTGTTCAAAACCCTTTCATGACACTTTCATGTCCTCACGATAAAGTCAAACCTCTAAACACAACCCACCAAACCTTTTTTTTTTTTTTACAACCCACCAAACCTTCTTTTTAATATATTAATGATACCAAACTGTTTGTAATACCTCAAGTCATTTTATGTGTGCTAACATGTACTTATGCTATTCCCTCTATTTGGAACATTCCTCTTCCCCTCCCCCTTTTCTTTATCTGGCTAAACTCCTGCTCATCTTTTGAGATTCAGCCCAGGTGTCATCTCTAGGATCTCTCTTCTTCCTCTTTCTGGGCCAGGGAACATCCCCTGCATGAGCATCCTAGCACTCCATCCAAGCACTGGCTGCATTCCAATGAAAGCATCTACTGACACAGAGGTGGAACCAAATAAGGTTTTCAAATATTCTCCTAAATTTCAGGATTAAGGTTATTAGTTCAGAAGAAACCTCTAGTTTCTGTATATTTCTATTCATTTGCTTTACTGTATTTGGAAGTACTATGCCAAAGTGCAAATTCATGCATGAGTAGCAAGGGATCATATATTACCTTTCTACATTTCCCATCTCTGAATCGTGTACCCCTACAATAAATTCTTTTTTTATTTATTTATTTTTTTAACCCCTACAATAAATTCTAACATGTCTAGTTCTGTACTACATAAGAAGCTCACAGCCAAATTGATTTCTACAAGGCAAATCTATGTTGTTTGGTATGTTGTCCAGTATTGTAAGGCCAGGAAGCAAATTTTCACGTTGATGAGGCGTGTGTAGCAGTTTGAGACCACCAGAGTGAGGTGGTAAAAATGCCAGAGCAGAGAAGGACCTCCTGTCACCTCCAGAGTCCACTTTCAATATGGTTAGATGCTGGGCTTTATTGAAGACCAGAAACTAAAGTCTCTGTGTCACTCCCTCCTTCTTGTGGGCCAATCTTAAACCTTGTCATTATTGGTAACTATATCCCCTCCAAATCTCAATTTCAAACAGCCACGCTTGGTCTATTACTATTTCCTAATTAATTAGTTAATGATAGGGGCTTGAATTCACAACCCTGAGATCATGACCTTGAGATCAAGAGTCAGACACTTAACAACTGAGCTACCCAGGCACCCCATATATTTCCTATCTCCCAACTTCAAAAATCCTTTAACTCCACCAGGACTCACAATTCTTACAGCCTCTAACCTTCCTTATGTTTTCACTTCCCTCTTTATCCAGCTTGCATTCCATGGTCAGTAATTATCATCATTCTTTTGCACTTCACTTTAACTTTCTGGTCCCTGCTTACTTCATCAGATCACTTGGCTGAACCATAACTCCAGTTAAACCCAAATCTCAGCCCTCTCTCTGTGCCTGTACCACACAGCCATTCTCTCTTCCATTTTCCGAGACCACATGTCGACACTTTCTTTTTTTTTTTTTTAAAGATTTTATTTATTTATTTGAGAGAGAAAGAATGAGAGATAAGAGAGCATGAGAGAGGGCAGAGGGTCAGAGGGAGAAGCAGACTCCCTGCTGAGCAGGGAGCCCGATGCGGGACTCGATCCCGGGACTCCAGGATCATGACCTGAGCCGAAGGCAGTCGCTTAACCAACTGAGCCACCCAGGCGCCCTATGTCGACACTTTCTGTAAAGGGATAGACAGTTAATATTTTAGGTTCTGCTGGCCCTACAGTCTCTGTGGCAACTACTTAACTCTGGTGTGGACCTAAAGCAGCCACAGATAATGTGTAAATAATAAGCATGGCCGTGTTCCAATAAAACTTTATTTACAGACACTGAAATTTGAATTTCAAACACTTTTCATAGGCCATGAAATATTATTCTTCTTTAGTTCCGTCCCTCCCCCCTCCAACCATTTAAGGATGTAGAACACATTTTTAACTCATGGGCCTCCTAAAAACAGATAATGGATTGGATTTGGCCCACAGGCCATGGTTTGCTGACTCTGTCCTAGAAAATCATTTCACACTTTCTCTTTCTTTTCCACTCAATTATCCAACACCTATTCTTCCCTCTTCACTCTCAGCTGATGACCTTTCACTAAGATAAAGTCTTAGTCTTTTCACTAAGCAATCTGGAGAGAATTTCTACAAGATACCACCACCTCTCTCCATTTAACTGTATTTGTGTCCTTATATTTTGGCTTCTCTCCTATTATTGTATTTCTGGCAAAGATCAATCCCTCATTTCCAGACTTAACGACTCAAAAATACTTCAAAAATTCTCTCCTCTTCCTCCTGCATTATCACTATTTCCCTCTCTACTGAATCCTTCCATCTGTATACAAATATAATGTTATTTCTCTCATATTTAAAACAAAACAAAACACATTCTTGTCTCCACTTTTCCCTCTCCAGCTAGTGCCCCATTCTCTCCTTCCCTTCACAGAAACATCCTTGGAAGACTTGTTTATGCTTACTCCTTACAAGTTTTCTTCCCAGCCTCTTTTAAACGTACTCCAATGATGCTTCTTTCCCACCACTCCTCTGAAACTGTCCTTAAAAATCTCGCTATGACTTCCATGTTGTGACATCTAGGAAATTCTCAGTCTTCATCTCATTTGCCTTATCAGCAAGTGAGACTTGGCCGGTTGAGCACTCCCAGTTCCTTGGAACATTTTATCTTAGCTTTCAGGGCATTTTCCCATCTTATCTCACTAACCATGCCTTTTTAATCTTCTTTGGTGATGCTTCCTCCTGTCTCCAGGCTCAGTTCTTAGACTTCTTTTCTTTTTATCTTCATTTGCTTCCTTAGTGATTTCATTTAGTCTCATGGTTTTAAATAATAATCTGTATGCTGACAACTCTCAATATTTGTATCTCCAGCCAGGACCTCTCCCCTGACCTCTAGGCTCATACCTCTAACTGCCTACTACCTGGGTATCTAATAGCTATCTCAGATTTAACATGTCCAAAATTGAGCTCCCGATCTTCCTCCCAAATCTGTTCCTCCTGCAATCTTGTCTAGCTCAATTAATGGCAACTCCAGGGGCGCCTGAGTGGCTCAGTCGGTTGAGCATCTGCCTTCGGCTCAGGTCATGATCCTGGAGTCCCGGGATCGAGTCCCGCATTGGGCTCCCTGCTCAGCAGGGAGTCTGCTTCTCCCTCTGACCCTCCCCTCTCTCATGCTCTCTCTCTCTCTCACTCTCTCTCTCAAATAAATAAAATCTTAAAAAATAAATAAATAAATAAATAAATAAATAAATAACATATTTAAAACAAATGGCAACTCCATTCTTTTGGATAGGATTTTGGGTGACTTCCGGTTGAGTGTGATGGTGGAAAGAAGAGTTCCAATTCCAGACTTGGGGCTTACTGCTATTGTGAGATACTAGCTGAGTGTCATCACTTTTTCCTTCCCTGTAAGTAGCTGCTAAGAGAGAGAGGAAAAGTAAGTGGGTATTGTAATGAAGAAATTAAGGGGGGAAGAAGCACTACAGTGTTCACTATCTTGACATCCTGAACTTAAATCCTGCCAGGTAAATGAGGCAAAATGAGCAAGGACTAGACAAACCAGTTGTATAATAACCATAAAACTGCTCCTGACTCTGGATATACAGAGAAAACAAACACAGTGGGCATCATTATCTATGGACATATGGTCAATGCTCTATCCCAAGGAATGGGAAAAGGAGGAAGGGAAAACATTATGGAGGCTGAATGTAATACATGTGAGCAGTGGGGGGGAAGAGAAAAGAATGAAAACTATTCCAGACTTTGAACATGTCCTGACACTTAAGAAATCATTTGTTTGTCCACAGTCTCTTACTTGAAACCCCTAGGGCCAGATGTGTTTTGGAGTCAGAATTACTGTATTCTAGAAAGGCAATAGGTACATAATGTAACTCCCCATGATCAAATACATTAATATTTCCTTAGTAAAATGCATGAATATTCCATACCAAGTGGGATTAATAAGGACTACAAGTGGCCTTCTATCAGTTTAAATAAGATTTAGCTACCAAGTAAGTTCAAGTCAGATAAGGTCTTGTGACCAAATGTATTATGACAAAACTTTGTTTTCAGAGCTTTTGGACTTCAAAATTGTGAATAAGTGATTGAGTTAGTGATTGTACTAACTTCAACTTGGAAGAGCTTGTGCAAGACAAAATTACTGTCAACTTTAAGAAATAAGTACCTGTAGAATAAGTGATTGAGTTAGTGATTGTACTAACTTCAACTTGGAAGAGCTTATGCAAGACAAAATTATTGTCAACTTTAAGAAATAAGTACCTGTAGGTCTCTAGAATCTTACCTCTCAGGATCTTTGGCAGAAGAATAGTACCTTCAGGGCCACCAGGTAAATCCAGAGGTAAAAATTAATTCTTACCAGAAATGTGGGATCCATTTCTGCTGTCATCAGCACTATGCCCTTTTCTTCTTTAAGTTCAGGGTAGTGATATAAAACCAGCTGGCTGGCTGCAGCATCCCCCCGGGTCTGTAAGGAGAAACACTTATCAAGGCTCAATAAGGTACCACCACACAAAACTGCAATTTCAGAGCAATAGAGAGTCTAGAGGAAATTCGGGCTCTTAACAGCCCCTTGAGTGGCTAGTGAGTCGGAGGACTGGTAGGTGGGGGGATGGTCAGGCTTGCCAAGGCACAGTGAAACTGACAGTTTGCACAGTGTTATTTGTGTCTTCAATTGAAAAAGGTTTGGCTTTTTTCCCAGAAAATGTTTACAGTAGGCAGTGAATCCTTCATCATGGCCATATATTTAAAAACAAAATGGCACAAGCAACTACCAAATCAAGTTCTAAAGAAAGCAATATGCCGGTGTAATTGCCACTTTTATGGACTAGTGCATTTCACAGTTGAAATCTACTCCCCTTGGCTGGCTCTGAAGACTGAGCTCTTTTAAGCTGTAGCAAACAGCTGGAGAGTTTGCACATGGGCCAGATTTGTAATGTGCAGTTTTAAAATATAATCTAGGTGGGAGATAGGGGGGAAAGGAGAACGGGAACATCATAATTTTATGAAGAATGGACAGGGTAGTGGTTATCAGACCTCAGTTGAGACTAGGAAGAGAGGCTGGGTTCAAAGTTAAAGCCCTCATATGTAGGAGGAAACAACTATACATTCAAAAAAGATCTCTGGGTTTCATCTCTAAATTTCAGCAAGAGTCCTTCTAATTATTAATACCTAACTAGTGCTAGGGTTCAGCCTCTCAGTTCTCCCCCATTTACTTCAAATATACTGATCATTTTGATCATAATTATGTTTCTGGATCTTCTTCCCATACTTGTCTATGAGCTTCAGGAGGGCAGGGACTTTGTCTCACAGGTCTCTAAGTCCTGGCATCGTCTCTAACACAGCAGCATAAGGGTTCAGTTCACAGACTGGAATCAATCAAATCCAGTTCTGCTACCTATTACCACACTCATCCACACTAGGGACTAACTTCTCTGAGCCCATGCTCTTCTCTATAAATAGAAATAATATCTGTAACTATCTCATGGGACTTTTGTGAGGATTAAATGACATAATGTATATAAAACACCCGGCACATAGTAAGTACATCAAATATTGGTTATTATACGATGTGCAATAAATGTTATTTTAGAATTCATCCAATAATCAAGGTAAAAACTGGGCGCCTGGGTGGCTCAGTCATTAAGCGCCTGCCTTCGGCTCGGGTCATGGTCCCAGGGTCCTGGGATCGAGCCCCGCATCGGGCTCCCTGCTCGGCGGGAAGCCTACTTCTCCCTCTCCCACTCCCTGTGCTTGTGTTCCCTCTCTTGCTGTTTAAAAAAAAAAAAAAAAAAAATCAAGGTAAAAACTGCCCCTTCATTCTGCTTTTTCTTTTCTTTTTTTCTAACCCCCCCCCTTTTTTTAAAACAAACATAATACAATTTTAGGATACAATCATGAGCAAACTCATTCTATTTTGCATTTTCTTTACCCCAACCTTCAAAGCCATTCTAACACATGCTTGTTTTTTGGCAATTTGGCCTCCAAACATAAAATGTCAATCCCAGTTATGATCTGATTTAAAATACTGACTTCATTTTTAAGAGCTTCAAATGCTTTGGATTGAACATCTTAATCCAATATTTGGGAATAAAACAAAGAAAAAAGGAAGGAAGGAAAGAAAACAACATCTATGGAATGGAAACTATGCATCTTCCATCTTGGAAAGTGCTGACTCTGTTAATAAAATACAAGTAAGACATGCAGCCTACCTTAGAGTTAAAAAGATAACCATCATAACTGACCCATGTTAGTTAAGTGAGACACAAGCAGTAAACGTTATAGAGGTATGGGGAAGAGATGGGAGAGACCAAATATAGTCAGAGAATATGTTTTGGGGTCTTTTCCAATTTCTAGGTATTGAATAGGGCTTAGAAAGCTAGCCCAATATACAAAGAGTAACATTTCATCAACACTGAAGCAAAACAATTCATCAAGGCTGAAGCAAATACTGCTGAGAATTAGTAGATACGCTGTGTCCTCAAGCCTCAGCAAGGGCTCACAGGAGTAGGCCTCTTTCTTCCTAGGGGATGAGCACAAGCCACCTACCTGAATATTTATAAGTGCAGTGAAGTGGAGTTCAGTACCTGTCCACTGTCCTACAAAGAACTCATAACCTTCCCTTCTTGGTAGTGCACAGAGAAACTGGGAAACAAATACATGAAGAGATAGATGAATAAATACAATCATTTGCTCCATGTCCAACTGCCTAATCATTTACTCCATTTTTTCACTGTCTGGTTTTTAAACAGTTTTTACAATTATGAAATTCATTAAGTGATAATTTAACAAATTCTCATATACTTCCCAACCCAACCAAGAAAGAAAGCATTACAAATCCAACTAAAGCTTTCTCTGTAACCCATTCTAATCCCATTCCAGAGTAACATTTATCCTGCATTTGGTGTCTGTCATTCCCTTTCAAGGTTTTTATTCTTTAAATGTGCACACACATATGCATATCCATAAACAAGAAATACTATGTTTAAAAACTTGCTGCATGTTTAAAAACTTAAATCTTTGATCAAATTATATGTCCATTTTGCAATTTGCTTTTTTCACTTCACGTTACACTTTTGAGATTCATCTATGTTGATAAATACAACTCTTAATTCATTTATTTTCATTGTTGTATGGAATTCTACTATAGATATTTACCACAATTTATCTATTCTTCTATTGATGAACATTTGAGTTTTTCAATTTCTAAACTTTCTAATGCTGCTGAGTTAACTTTTGTTCCAATTATTATAATCACTTATTCTATCATCTGAAGCTGATACTGGAACATGGTTGTAAACACAAAGAAATGATTAATTTTATGCTTAAGATGTTTAGAATTGGGCATGAGTGGTGAAGAGACTGATGTCGGGAGAAAACAAAGTATAATCAGTCCAGTATGCGTTAGTCATGGAACTATCTCCTTATGGCCAACCACTCAGGCTCTATTTCATTTTTCTTAGCTGACATAACCTCAGTGCCTAGCTAACAGGTAACTGATTTGATTTCTGTCACTCCTGGTCATGGTGCATTTTCTAGAAGTTTGTATAAATGGAACCAAAGAATCTATAATTCTTTTGGGTATGATTTCTTTCATTTAGTGTAATTGTTTCGTGATCTATCCATGTTGCTGGATGTATCAATAGTTCATTCTTCTTATTGCTGAATATCATTCCACTGTAGATGTATATGTACACACAATCCCTCTCCCCCACAGTATCTTTATATACCGGTGATAGGTATCTTTTAGGATCTGGTTATTACAAATACAGCTGCTATGAACATTTGTGTTGTATGAACATATGCTTTCAATTCTTGGGAAAAAAACTAGGGAGTAGAATAACTGGGTGGTATGGCAGGTATATGCTTAACTTTTAAAGAAACTGTCATTCTGTTTTCTGAGGTGCTTGTACTGTCTTACATTATTATATCAGCAGTATATGAGAGTTCCAGTTCTTCCATACCCTCACCAACGCTTGGTATGGTCAGTCTTTTTAATTCTAGTCATTTTTGTGGTATCTCACTGTGGTTTTAATTTGCAATTCGCATTATGACTAATAATATTGAGCATCTTTTCAGGTGCTTATCTGCCATTCCACTTTGTCTGAATCTTTTGCCCATTTTTTAACTGGGTTGCCTGTCTTCTTAAGTACGAGTTTTTAATATATTCTAGATACAAGTCACTTGTCAATATGTGTCTTGTAAATATCTTCTCCTAGTCTGTGGGTTGTCTTTTCATTTTCATAATAATGTCTTTTGAAAAGTAGAAAATTTTATTTTTTATTTATTGTGGTAAAATACACATAACATAAAAGTTATCATTTTAACTATTCTTAAATGTACAATTCAGTGGCATTAAGTACATTCACCCTGTTGTGCAAACATCACCATCATCTCCAAAACTTTTTAAATCTTCCCAAACTGAAACCCCATACCCATTAAATGAGAACTCCTCATTCCCCTTTCCCCCATCCCCTGGCAGCCATCATTCTACTTTCTGTCCATGAATTTGACTCTTCTAGGTACCTACACCTATTCTAGATATGTAAGTGGAATCATACAGTATCTGTCCTTTTGTGACTGGCTTATTTCACCTAGTATAATGTCTTCAAGGTTCATCCATGTTATAGCATGTGTCAGATTTTCCTTCCTTTTTAAGGATGAATATCCCACTGGGTGTATACACCACATTTTGTTTCTTCATCTACCAGTGGATATACTTGGGTTCCTTCCGTCTTTTGACTATTGTGACTAATGCTGCTAAAAACATGAGAACACAAATAGAAAATTTTAATTTTGATAAAATCTAATTTACTGATTTTGATTTTTTTCTTTTATAGTTTGTGTTTTTTGTGATATACTTAAGAAATCTTTGCCAAACCCAAGATCACTAACATTCAACCTAAGATTGTATTTTGTAGAAGTTACATTTATATCTATGATCTATTTTGAGTTAATTTTTGGATACAGTGTAAGAGTAGAGGTTCATTTTTTGCATATGGATATCCAAACTGAAGGGATTATCCTTTCCCCATTTAATCACCTTGGCACCTTTGCTAACAAATAACTGACCACACATGTTGGTCTATTTCTGGATTCTCTCTTCTCTTCTCTTGACCTATATGTCTGTCTATATGCCAATATCACATTGTCTTCATTATCATAGCTTTATAATAAGCCTTGAAATCATGAAATGTAAGTGCTCTTTCTTTTTTTTTTCAGAACTGTTTTGGAGCAACCCTCTCGAGCCCCCTCTCTTTGGGAGCTTTGTACTCTCACTCCATAAACCTTGCTTTGCCGCCCACCGAAAACAAAAACAAACCTGTTTTGTTATTCTAGGTCCTTTGGATATCCAAATAATTTTTTTTTAATTGGCTTGTCAATTTCTTCAAAGGAAAAAAAAGCCCACTGGGATTTTGACTGGGATGGTATATTACTCTAGAGATCAACTTGGGGAAAAATGATGACAATACCGAGTCATCCAATCCATGATCACACTCCATCTCTCCATTTACTTAGATGCTTTTTATTTAGTCTCAGCAATGTTTGGAAAATCTTTTTGAAAATTCTAGAAATTGTTAGAAATTATTACTGACACCAAGTCAGCTGGTCCACCTCACCAATTCCCTTTCGCTTGGGTCGCTTGGCAGCTCATGACTCCAACAATCTCATCATTCCTTAGGCACACATAAGCAGAATAGCATGGCCAAAACAAAAAAGAAACTGGCAATAAAACAGTAACTTAAAGGAGGGTGAAAATGTGAAGGGCTCAGGTGTTGCCTCCCATGTTCATCTGTACTGACAGAGATCCAAATCAGAAAGGGCTGCACCATGTCAGAAAGCTAAAGGGCCTGAGACACTTACTGGGACAAACCCACATGATTCCTTATGGCTGAAAATCTCACTTATCAGTACAGTCAACACATGAGCATCTTTGTTAAATAAACAGAGCGCTGTAACACATGAGATAGTATGGAGTATGAAGGGAGAGGTTAGAAAACATCCTTGTTTGGAAGCACTGAGAAGCAAACCTCATCTGGTCACTGGAAACTTACTGTTGGACAGGACTGAGCCCGGGTCCAGATCAAGTCAAACTTCTCTTTCTGTAGGTTAGAAAAGAATAAAATTCAAAACCAAGAAAACTTGAGGCTGCAATCACATTTAAATTCATGAAGACTGAACTCTAGGGCTGAAATACAACCAAAAATATCTCATATTCTATCATTTACAATTCCCTCTTACGACAGAGAGAAAAACCGGGTGTGTGGCTGCTCAATGTCAGAATTACATGTGAAGAGTGGATACTCCGAAGCCTCCAAACTCTGCAAGGGACTCTGCCAAGTGTCAGAGACTTCAGGCCACTGAGGCTGTCTAAGGGAGAGCCAAGAAGGCCTGTTTAAACAATGAGTCAGTATTACAGATCTAAAATATCACAAAAAGTACAGATCCTTTTGGCCGTTGAACTCTTCAAGGGCAAGGGTCTATGTGTGTACCAGGTGGGATAGCAGTACTCTCAGGGCAAGCAAAAGACCCAGCTTGACTTTTCTGTTTTCCTCCTTAATCTTAAAATCACACATGTAAACTCAGTGCTCGATGTAAAACTTAACCTAAGTGGCTTTCTCTTCAGGGAAGAAGAAGAACAATTAAAGAACTAGCTGATAACCCAGTACATCATATGCTTTCTCATGCAGAAGTCAGTGTGAGGACATTAAACTAGAAGAAGACAGCAGCACCCCTTCCCAGTCACAAACCTCAGTGGTCAAGAGTGGCCAATGACTATCTCCAAGACAGGGAAAAAATAAAGAAAATAAAGAAAATGCCACTTACTAAAGGAAAAGGCCAGAAAAAGCCTAGGAGGAAGCTCTAAGTCAGCTCAGTAATAGGTCACTTATAGACAAAAGGGGAAGAAAGCTATGCTAGAGGCCCTGTCTGAAAGTCCAACTGTATGGTTGGAAAACACCAAAAAGAAGTAAAACACATTTGGAAATTGCTCAGCAACATGACTTACACCATACTCCCTTGTCAGAGACTTGAGTAAAAGAGACATTGCTAAACCAGAAAGAGGGAAAACAAGCACCATAAACATACCATATGGAGCGCACAATCTTTGGTGCTTAGGGCATAATAAAAACCCTCAGAGCTATAAATGTAAGTTCTCAAGAGGCAATAAACATAGAAAAAGTAAAGGTAACTGCCTGCTAAGGTTAGAGCCCTGACCTTCATGCCATAACATTTCCATTTCCCCCTCCAAGCTACTTACAGGAATAACTGTGTAGACTGTATCTTTTGCTGCAAAATACTGCTGCCAAATCTGTACGAAAAAGAGAGGGTGTCTGTGACACGTGGGTAATCTTTTCAACCTGCGCCAAGAAATGGTGACAGCTTTCATTGCTCAGAGTAACAAGGAAGAAAACCCAATGTAATGCTTTTATTACCAGCACATGATTACAAAAAAGATTTAATACCATCTACTCTTCTAGATGATTAAACTGTAACTCTTAATAACAAATTCCTGTCAGACAAATGGATTCCATGACCTTATGAATCATTTCTCTCAAGATGTGCCTGTATGCAACAGACATGTTCTTTTCTCATACCTTCTCTTTTCCTTCCCAAAACCCATATTCCCCAGCCAACTGTGGGCTTCTTAGACAGCCAGGACATCAGTCATTCAGAACCCAGTGTCTGGAGTCAGGTGGACCTGGATGCAAATCCCAGCTCCAATCATTTGCTGGCCATGCTACTTGGGGCAAATTACTGAAAATCACTAAACAACATCAACATAATCATCTGTAAAATGGCAATAATATCAACCTAACAGGATTATTGTGAGGACTAGTTGAAATAATATAGGTTTGTGCCTAGCACGAGAGAATTACAATGCAAACCAGAGCCAAGGTGCTCTGAGGGGAACAAAGAGGCACTTAACCCAAGTTAGGGAATGAGTGCCAGATGAGGGGATACTTGAACTGTATCCTGAAGAATGATCAGGAGTTAGCCAGGTGAACAAGGAGGCTAAGAAGATAAACAGGTAGGATAGAAGAGACACATTCTAAGCAGAGAATGACAGCATTAGCAAAGGCATCGAATGCAGGGAAGGCATCACAGCCAAGGTGACACCTGAGTGAGCTTTTGAAGAACAGGGCCACCCTCCTTTAGAGATGCTCTGCTTTGTCAACATTTTCATTAAGAATGGAGGGGGCGGCCCCTAACTGAAGATACTAATCAAAGTATAATCTAACTAACACAGGGTACAGAAGGACTATTACCTCCCAGGACCTGGGCAAATCATTGTCAATACAGCCCAAGGTTGCTTTGCCTTCTTTTTTTTTTTTTAATGTCAGGCACGGTCTTTTCATTTTAACGAGAGCATATCCTGCTATTTTTATTTAATCTATAGTAGTAGATAGTTCATGAATCAACACTGAAATTTATAGACAGATAGATGTTTCTTAACATAATTGACCTTGGTTACTCAAAATTATTTTAACAAACACAAATTTATGTCTAAAATTATAGGTCTAAATGATATTCATCATATGAATATCAAGCCTCCTGGGCCTGGCTTCTCTCTCCACTAAAGAATATGCTTGGTGTCTGCTTTCTATTGGCATCTCTTCCCAAAGACACAGTTTGAGGTCTCCTACAGACTTTGCATAAGCCTCTATTAACACAAGTTAGAACCCTGTGCTGTTCTCGTCTGTCTGTGTCTGTCCTTCTACTAGGCTAAAACTCCTTGAGAGTAGGGGATTCTCTCATTTATTTCCATGTCTCGCATACAACCTGACATTATATAGGTTATTTAATAAATGCTTTTGCTGAAACAAATGATACAGCACCCAAAGGAAACTCATAGCAATTGGCACAACTTCCCATAAGGGAACAGGATGCAGAGTCAAACAGACATGGGTTTGAGTTCTAGCTCTACCCTAAGTTACTTAATCTCTTTAAATTACAGTTTCCTCAGTTGTAAATTGGAAATAATAGCACCTACACTTCAAGGCAGTTATGAGAATTTAATGAAATAGTGCATGTGAAGCCCTAAGTACAGTACCTGACACAGTCTACTGCTTTTATTATTATTTTGATTTTCTCAATATACCTAAAATAATTCACGGAATTACAAGAAATGCCAATAAATAGCTTATTATAGTCTAATTAGAGAGAAAAGAATCACAGACATGAAAATGTAAATAGCAATGCAAATCAAGGTGTATGGAATGACCAAACAGGTAGGATAGATCATGAGTGCTCTGAAGGAAGGTGTCCAGAAAGCTTCCAGAAGAAGGTCCTATAATAACAGAGGACTCTGAATGGCAAGCAAAGGAATACAGGAAGTCACTGAACATTTGCAAGCAGGTCACTGACATAATATTTATTTTTATTCATTTATTTAAAAACACAAATGTAGCACTTACTCTGTGCCAGGCACTGTTCTATGTGCTTTACAAATATGAACTCATTTAATTCCCCAAAGAACTCTGTAAGTACTGTTATTACTACTATGAGGTAAGTACTATTAATACTACTATTAGTATTATTATCTCCACTTTACAGAGAGGGAAACTAAGGCTCAGAGAGGTCAACTAACTTATCAAAGTCATTCACACAGTAAGTGGCAGAGCTAGGACTTAAAACTGGTGGCTTGGCTCTAGAGTCTGTGTTCTTTTTTTTTTTTTAAAGATTTAATTTATTTATTTGACAGAGACAGAGAGGGAACACAAGCATGGGGAACGGGAGAGGGAGAAGCAGGCTCCCCACTGAGCAGGCAGCCTGACTCGGGGCTCGATCCCAGGACCCTGGGATCATGACCTGAGCCGAAGGCAGACGCTCAACCAACTGAGCCACCCAGGCGCCCCAGAGTCTGTGTTCTTAACGAACACACAATGCTTTTTCATAATGAAAGTAGAACTTTAAGAGGATTCAACTGGTAAGACTATGAGAGGTGGAGGAGCGGGAGGAATGAGAGCAGAGAAACCTACTTAGATAGGTAGTACCGTAAGCCAGAACATAGTACTGATGATTTTAAATAAGACATGGGCAACAGGAATGAAATAGAAGGGGGTAATGTGAGTTGATTAGACATATAGGAGTAAAATCAAGAAAGACAAGCTTTCTTATGCCATTATGTTTCATGTAATTGATCACTTTTGCGTTCTGTAACCACTTTTCATTTTGGCTAAAAAGAGGTGTCAAGAAATGTATGCTCCTTTCTACTTTCAGATTTGGCTCACAGAGCACATGTTTTCGTAAAGTATGCCAGCCCATTTTCATTTATTACCTGTCTTATTTCTTCTGCAGTTTTGTCTTTCACCATCTCAATGTTAAAGATTGAACTGAGAGTCTAAATGAGAAAATAAAAGGTAATTAACATCCACAATTAAGAAAAATACAACAACTTAACTATCTGTAAACCTTGCGGGAAGCAACAGGTCAGGACAGTGGAGCAGATCTTCAATAAGTACAGAACATGTATAAGAAAACCTGTATGCTCAGAGAAGTGAACCCCTAAGCCCAGGCAGGTTTTCACAGTGCTATTCCTGGGGAGTATCTAAAAGTACTTTCTAAATGCTTTACCCTCACTAATGAGCACTGCAGCATTTTGCAGCTGGTAAGAAGAGAAAATCTGGTTGTCACCTTTAACTGCTATTCTACTAGGGGTGGCTCCTTATTTGCAAATTAAATGAGTAAACATGCTTTGATTTTTTTTAAACTACTTCCTATAGAAAGAAAGCATATCACCAGGATTTCCCTCATATTTCCTCCAGCAGCCCCAGGACTCACACTATGTTAGAGGTTATATCAAGCACGTAAAAATTCATAGAAATATTTTTCATCTCCGTAGTTGGAAAAAAAATCACAAAATCACAGAACCACAGTAAGTATGTTCAAATTTGCAGCCTCTTGTTATAGATGTTCCATATGACTTCAGACTTAGATCTTTAATTAGAAACCTACCTTGTCCTTAGTGAATCCTCTGCTCACAGGCTGTTTCCCCAGGGTGTCTGTCTGAAATACATGATGAGACAGGACATTTATCTGTACCTTACTCATAAGAAAAAGACCACCACACTAGTGAAGTGTACAGTATCTCATTTAGTAATCAGACACTTGAAAACTCACTTTTCTCCATTCTATATAGTAACTGTACACACTGTTCTATGAGTTATTGTTTGTGAGACAACTTTTCTGTGACTAAGCTTCTGAGACAGAGAGATGAGAAAAGATGTGTTAGTAACTACCACCTACCGGTACTTAGAGTCCATACCCATACCTGCCACTATGGATATGAGGGACTCCCTCCCAGAATGAGGCCTGCTTGGGTTTCCTGTGCTCTGCCCTCTGATCTGCTCCTTGGTGAGCCATAACGGAGGTAAGCAATGGAAAAATGTATTTTCGAAGGCTGCTTCTCATCTGTGACACACTTCTGATGGCAGGCATCCTCACCAGCCTGGTCTTTTCCAGCACTCAATCTTAATATTCCCTCTATCAAATTAGTGATTATTTCTTCTCCTAGCCTACTATCTCTGATAAAGGTCACAGTCAAGAAATCCTATTATGAGGTTTCTGATAATAGGGATGGGTTGGTTCTAAGTCTCTCACTCAATTTCTTAGTTCAAGTCCATTCCTTTCAGGAGTACAATCTATACCTGGGATTCTGAGGCTGAAAAACACCGTCTGCATAAAATCCTGTCTTTTGTTATTCTGTGCCTCAAGGAATCCAAACCTTTCATAAACGTTGCCCACAGAACTGGTACGAACAAATTAGACAAAAGTCTGGTACAGAAAAATCTGTTGGATACACCCTTGTCTTTTTGGTCATACCCCTACACAGTGGCAGCACCCTAATGTAGTCTGTCCTTCACAGGGAAACTTCCCAGAAAAAAGAGAATTGATTTCATTTTCATACCATTCACCTTCAGGTGCACTATGGAAACAAAACAAATGAAACCCTCCATTTGCACAGCTGTCTTCACCTTCTATTTTTTTTTAATTTTTTTATTTTTTAGATTTTATTTATTTACTTGACAGAGAGAGAGAGTGGGAGAGGGAACATAAGCACGGGGGAGCTGGAGAGGGAGAAGCGGGCTGGAGATAGTTGATCCCAGGATGCTGGGATCACGACCTGAGCCAAAGGCAGATGCTTAATGACTGAGCCACCCAGGCGCCCCATGACTTCACCTTTTAATCACTAAGCCTGGTATATTCTTTTCCCACAATGTCCCTCCAATCCATTCTTTATTTCCACTTGTACTTATAGAAATAACAAATTTAAGTTCCAAGTATAAGCTTATTGCATTTTATTTTAACCTAAGACACTACTTAAGAAACACCATTATTTTATGTATCAGAAAATGATGCCAATTAAATAATAACAATACTTTCATATCACATCAATTTTAAGACAATTCTGGAGATGTTAAAATGCAAAAAGTAAATGTGGGCTTTAGAATCAATGAAATATAGTAATTAAAATTATAGTTGAAAGTATGTGCCAAGGGCGCCTGGGTGGCTCAGATGGTTAAGCGTCTGCCTTCGGCTCAGGTCATGATCCCAGGGTCCTGGGATCGAGTCCCGCATCGGGCTCCCTGCTCCTTGGGAGCCTGCTTCTCCCTCTGCCTCTCTCTCTCTCTCTGTCTTTCATGAATAAATAAATAAAAATCTTTAAAAAAAAAAAAAAAAAGAAAGTATGTGCCAAAAGTCTCAAGAGCACTTAATAAAGCATTTATTTTTTTTTTAATTTATTTATTAGAGAGCGAGAGAGAACGCACACACAGGGGAAGTGGCAGAGGGAGAGGGAGAAACAGACTCTCTGCTGAGCAGGAAGACAGACTTGGGGCTCAATCCCAGGACTTTGGGATCATGACCTGAGCTGAAGGCAGATGCTTTAACTGACTAGCCATCCAGGCGCCCCTTAATAAAACATTTAAATGTGTACTTTACTACTCCCGTATCGATGCTTTGGAAATCTGTGTGGACAACTTTTCTGTTATCACAACAGTGACGGGATAAGGCCATTTGTATTTATGGGAGGGGAAGCGGGACAGGAGCTGCGATCTTGTAAATGAATTCCACATAATGAAGAATTTTCCCTCATCCTGGACAATTTTTCAGTGTCTAGCCAGATGCCCTCATAGGTGAAAAACCTGTTTATAATTATCTGGGTCTAGGGGCGCCTGGGTGGCTCAGTAATTAAGTGTCTGCCTTCACCTCAGGTCATGATCCCAGGGTCCTGGGATCGAGCCCCATGTCGGGCTCTCTGCTCAGTGGGGAGCTTGTTTCTCCCTCTCCCACTCCCACTGCTTGTGTTCCCTCTCTCGCTCTCTCTCTCCGTCAAATAAATAAATAAAATCTTAAAAAAAATAAATAAAAAAAATAATTATCTGGGTCTAGACTCTGTTTTGCTTTTCCTTTCTTTTTTTTTTTTTTAACACGGCTTTAATAAACACTGAGTTTTCTAGAAATGCAACTAGTATATAACTTAAAAGAAGGCTGCACATTGTGGAATCTCATGAGGATCACTGATAACAATACCCCTCATGGTCTGGGAGTTTTTAAAAGTACTAATACAACACCCTATACCAGTCAGTATTTGCTGCTTATGTATTCATGGTCATTTCACATATAGGTGAGAGACTCTGATGACTGCATTAGGTTTCACAGCATAGTTGTGCTCAAGAACTTATATACTAAAGTTCACTCGTAAAAATTTCATTTATATCATTCATTCACTGTAGAAATTTCTTTTTTTTTTTTTTAAAGATTTTATTTATTTATTTGAGAGAGAGACAATGAGAGATAGAGAGCACGAGAGGGAAGAGGGTCAGAGGGAGAAGCAGACTCCCTGCTGAGCAGGGAGCACGATGTGGGACTCGATGCGGGACTCGATACGGGACTCGATGCGGGACTCGATGCGGGACTCGATGCAGGACTCGATGCAGGACTCGATTCCGGGACTCCAGCATCATGGCCTGAGCCGAAGGCAGTTGCTTAACCAACGGAGCCACCCAGGCGACCCACTGTAGAAATTTCATTCATATCATCTACTAAATAAGTATTTTATTAAAAAGTTCTTTCCCTGGGACATCTGGGTGGCTCAGTTGGTTTCAGCTCAGGTCATGACCTCATGGGTCATGAGACTGAGCCCTGCATGAGCTCCACATCAGGGCTCCACGCTCAGCAGGGAGTCTGCTTGAAGATTCTCTCCCTCTGCCCCTCCCTTCATTCTTGCATGCACTCATGCACAGCGCACACTCTCTTCTCGCAAATAAATAAATAAATCTTAAAAAAGTTTTTGGGGTGCCTGGGTGGCTCAGTCAGTTAAGCGTCTGACTTCGGCTCAGGTCATTATCTTGGGGTCCTGGGATCAAGCCCTGCATCGGGCTCCGCATTCAGTGGGGAGTCTGCTTCTCCCTCTTCCTCTGCACCTCCCCAGCTCATGCTCTAATTAAATAAATAAATAAATAAATAAATCTTTAAAAAAAGTTCTTTCCTTTATATGACAGCTAGAGCATTATATTGATCCCCGCGCCCCCCCCCCCTTGAAATTATGTCTACTAGTGGGTGAAATTGTCTAAATTTCATTTCAGGGTACAAAATGGAGAATTAAAAATATTTTTTATAAAAAGGGGACGTTGGAGGGCTCGTGGGTGGCTCAGTCATGTTACGCTTCTGACTTCGGCACAGGTCATAATCCCCGAGTCCCGGGATCAAGCCCTGCGTCGGGCTCCCTGTTCAGCAGGGAGTCTGCTTCTCCCTCTGCCCCTCACTCCGCTCTTGTGCTTTCTCTCTCAAATAAATAAATAAAATCTTTAAAAAAAAAAAAAAGGGAATGTTGGGTCTCATGTGGTAGGGAGCCAATGACTCAGAGCAAAGAAAAGGCTTTGCGGATAGAGTCATTAGCCCCCTTCTCTCTAGCTAGATAAGAAAAACAGGAAGTCATTATTTACCCAAGTGTTGTCATAATTTAAGCTACATCTTGACTTATGTTTGCATCTTGTCATAATGAAGTTGAATTTCCAGATCTGTTTACAAAAGGGGGCAAAGAGCTGTCCAATGTCATACTTAAAGTTTCTAATACAGTAATATTTCCAAGAGCTACTGATTTGTAACCTTGGCACTATAAATGTTTATTATAGGAAATTACATTTGTTAAAATATTTGTAGTAGAGACTTGTTTGTTCAAATAAAGTTGTAAACTATGCTTGTCATAGGAGGTTGAATTTGCTCCCCAATCTCGTAATGATTTGATTAACCCAGTGACTTGCTTTTGTTCTCATGAACTCCAACAGTGATTAAAAGACCAACTGGATTCTCTTAAAATTTAGAATACTCAAGGCAAAAAAAGTTACTGTCCAAATTAAATAAACATCTTTCATCCCAAAACACAATGTAGAATCCCAATTTTCCACGGTATGTTATTTCAGGCCCAAACAGCCCACATATGGATTACTGCATATCCTTCCTGGTATTAGCCACTCCCACCCCACTTTGCTCTGTGTACCACCCTAGGTTAGTATTTTTCAAATCACAGGTTGTGAAATCAATTTACTAGATTGTGGCCAAAGTTTTTTTTTAAAGAAAAAAAAGTGCATTTCATGTAGTAAAAATAAGCATTATTTTGTAAAAACTCTGCTTCAGTTACAATCATACACATGTGTATGTACTGAATTGCAGTGTAAAATATATTTCTCACTGTGGATCATGATCAGAAAGTTTGAAAAGCACTGTATTAAGATTTCAACATGCTTTTCCCCAGCTTTGATTCTTGTTTAAAGATAAGAGTAGCTTTTAAGCACTTTTTTGTCCCGGATCTCTACAGCCCGCTGCCAGGTATGCTTTGCCTTGACCATTCTACCGCATCCCCCAGGAGCATGGACTGCCTTTTTCATCTCTCTGTATCTCTACCATGACCACAGTACTTCGGCAGAAAGAGCAGGATACCATTTATGGATGGAGACTGAGCTATGTAGAGAGAGGCTACGTTCAGTTCATCTAGCTGACCCATCAGTGAGCCCACTCCCTGGAGAGGGTTGAGGGTGAGCGTGTAGCACACTGGTGAGCCAATAACACAAAGAGGGGCAGGTCTTACCTTCTGTTCTACACATTTGATAAAGTCACCTTGCCTGGAGTGCCCCACTGGCTGCTTCCGAAACTCAATGCGCTTTTCCAGTCGGGATTCAAAAACAGCTGGGTCAGACCTGATTAAAGGTAAAGCAAAAGTGAAACCACTTGGGACTTTTTGAATTTGGAAGTAACAAAGCATCATGTTGCACTTCCAGAGAGGACACAGGCATTCAAAGGCTGAATGATTTGCCTATAAATCAAGAAGGTAGAAAAAGAAATCCAGTTATTTAACTACTGTTAATCTTCAAGGGGCCTGTGTAACAGGTTATTTCCTAGGGTGATGCAGACCTTGGTCCCACAGGTACTTATACTCTGGGTACTTGGAATTCAAATCCTCAAGATGGGAAGGGGACTCTGAAGTCATCTTGCTTGATCGTCCTACTCAGGCAGGAATCCAACAGCACTCCCAGTAGGTGTCAAGCTTTTACTCGAACACAACTAGTTCTTGGACATCTTCTTCACCCCACGCAAAGGTTAAACATGTGTTTATTTAGATTCAGAGGTTTTAAACAGCACAGTTTGTAGGAAAAGATTTAGCACCTGAGTTTCTCCCTGACTCTCTCTCCAAAGGACTTGCTCCTGCAGATGAAACATCAGAACCTGTCCTTTATATCAAAATGAGCTGGTCTTCAGGCCTGAAGTCCAGGTTGGGGCTGCCATCCTTGTTAAGAAGTCTTCAGGCTGTGTAGCCAACGGTGTGATATTTGGCACTGTACACTTTGGTGAAGACATCATATAGGGATTACCACTCCTGGGCCATGAGACCTGTAGTGTCATAGGTGTGGTCCGCAGGATCCAAGGACATCCTGATCACTTCTGTGGTGGAGTACTTCCTGATCAAGGCATTGTACGGGGCCCCTCTTTCATAAAACTCAGTTCCAGAGGAGACATTAAACACTACTCCCTTCATGCCATTACGCCATTACATGGGCCGATCTTCTTCCTCCCCCTCCATAGCAGGCCAGTAACTCAGTGCAGAGTCACTCCAGGGGGCCTGTCCTGTGGGGTGTGGCCCCTGCTGGGGCTGCAGATGCCAGGACCAGGGTTAGTGCTGCAAGCATCCACAGTCACACCTGCACCTGCCATGCTGAGTGGATCGAGTGAGAGGTGGCCTAGGCATTGGAGTCTGTGCATTCCCACCTTGGACATCTTTCATTATTAAAACATTCTGAGCCTAAATCTATCCATCTATATCTTCCACACTCAGGAACAAGAACAAATGTCTAATCCCTTTTATTTGAGTACTTGGAAATTGCTATTATGTCACCCCTTAAAGTTTTCTGTAAGTTGAATTTCCTTAGTTCTTTTGGCCCCTCTTCATATGTGCTTTGCGAATATTTCCTCACTATAAACCTGCTCTCTGGACACCCTCCAGTTTGTCCACATTCTAGATATAGTGGGCCTGCAGCTAGATCAAATACTCCCAATTCACCAATGCAAAGTGTGATGCAAAAATCTAGATACTAGGCTGAAGGAGTCAAGAGGGCACACAGCCTTGCCCTGCTATTGGCTCACACCAAACTTGTGTCTGGTGCTCCAAGGGCCTAGGTTTTAGTGAATATAGAGAGACTGACAGATGCTACAGCATGAAAACCTTGTGTGGAACACTAAGGAATATGGAGATTATCTAGAGTCAGTGAGGGTGCTTTGGAATGTTCACTCTCTGAGACAGCAGTATGTGTAAAAATTGATGGGAATGATCTGGTGGGGAAGGAGAGTAAAACCAGCCATTCGTTGCTTCCTGAGTAAGAATGAATGGCAACTGTAAAGTATTGAGAGTTTGTGCAGACAGCTCTCCTAAGATGCTGCCTGTGAAAGGGATCAATGAGAAATTGTTGTAGGTCATGTAGGTCAAGGAAAGGTTTTAAAGAAGAGAAATCCTTGAGTATATTTGAATGCTGCTGGAAAGAGGGCAAAAATACTCATTCCTTTATTCTGTCAGTTTTTTCAAAAAGGGAAGAAAGATCCCCACAGCAGCAGTGAGATGGACTGGGGTGGAAGTGGGGAAGACTAGCTAGAGGATGACTGCAAGAGTCCAGAAGATGCTGGAGGAGGACATTAAGGCCATGGAAGTAGAGATGAGACAGAACTCAAAGAAGTTACACTATGCAGTTTTTGGTTACCTTTCTAAGACAACTGCCTGCCTACCCTGCCAGACTCTCTCCCAAGCCCCTCTAAGTTTCACCCTTCATCTCCTTCAGCTCTTTCCACTTTAACTCTTCAGACCCTCCCTTGGTCCCCTTGCACCCCCCTCAAGCCTCTTATCTCCAAGTCCTTTTATCTGGAAGCTGAGGGGTAGTGTTAGGAACCCTGGATCCCAAATCAGATGAATCCCAACCAGCTGTGTGACCTCTGGCGGGTCTCTGCCGCTCTCTGATTCTGTTTCCTCCTCTTCCTGACAGGGTTCAACGGATGAGCCATCTGTGACTCCATTAGTCTTTGATGTCCTGCTCCCTCCCCGAACCTCCTTTCCTTGTAGTCAGGGCTCTAACTAGAAGCCTAGGAACCCGAGCTCTAGGCCAGGCCTCAGTGACTTGAGTTGAGCAAGTCAAGTCCCTTCTCTGGAAGTCTCTATGTTCCCATTTCTTTAATCAGGGCAGGTCTGTTGGAACCGTCTACTTCATTAGGGCCGACACAGGATTCCACCTCAGCGTTCTGAGAACTAGAGCACAACGAAAGACAACTCGGGGAAGAGGTAGGACTTTGCAGATACTCTCATTTCTGAGACTAGCTGTGTGATGTTAGCAAGTCACCTTGCTTCTCCGAGCCCACAGACACATCATCTAGAGTGCGGAGAGTAATCGGGCCCCACATCACGGGGTTGTTCTAAGCACTGAAGGCGTCAGATCCACCAGAAACGTGGGCCGCGCGCCGCCCCTCCCCGCCCGCCGCCGGTCAGCCAGGGTCCGCACCTGCGCAGCTGCTGGATCTTGTCCCGGTAGCGGTCGTAGAAGGGGTTGGCCTCGAGTTCGGCCCCGACCCCGCTGCCGTCGGCGCCCCCCGCGGGCCCGCCAGAGCCGCGGCGCACCGGGAACACGCGCAGCTGCGCGGGGGACACGAGCCCCAGGCCTAGGGCGCGGCTGCGCACGGCGCACAGCCCCCGGTACAGACCGGCCACCTGCAACACGGCCGGGCCCGTGCCACCCGCCGCCGCCGCCACGGCAGCCATGGCCGCCCCCGCCTCCTTCTCCTCCTCCTCCTCCTCCTCCGGCGCGTCGGCCTCAGCCCGCGGCCCGCGCGCCTGCTCCATCGCGCTCCGGGTCCGCTGCGCCTCGGCTCCGACACCGACGTTCCGCGCGCGCAAGGTTCCGGGCCCCGGGGAAGGCGAGGCGGGGCGGGTAGGAGGGGGGCTTGCGGCTCGGCCCCGGCGCCGCGCGTTCGGCCGCTCGGAGTGCCGCAGCGCGTCTCCTCCCCCGAGCCTGCTGGGCTTCACGCCTTCCCGCTCGGGTCCAGCAGCCTCTGCGCTCCGTCTCCTCCTCTCCCTCTGCTTCCTGACATCCACCTTGAACTCCAGCCAAACCTCCTCTCCAAAGAGACACCTGGGTCTGACCTAACAAGTCTTGATTTGGGCTGTTTTTGATCCTTGTAATGCTCTACCGCCATCTTCTTCATCCCCTTGAACCAAGCGGGAATTACTGGGGTCAGACACAGTGACATCTACATCTCCCGTGTCTCACCTGCTCCCAGCATAGAGGGCCAAACCTGGGGCAAGTCCACTACAATGGCATGATCAGTTTGCCTTCGTGGAAGTCCTTCCTGTCTGGGTCTTACCTGGTAGAAACCCCTCGTGAATGGTGGACTCCTCCGGGGCCGGGTCAGAGCCTTCAACTCTTCTCAGTCCAGCCTGCACTCATGGGGGTTGGTCCTAGGCCCTGGCCTGTGCTAGAAGTAGTGTGGTGGACTCGGAGATTAGTAAGTCCTTCGAGTGTGCTGACCTATACCTGCCTCAGGATCTTTGCACTGGCTGATGATCCCTCTGCTTGGATCTGCATATGGCGGCCTCATCATTTATGGCTCAGTTCATAAGTTGGTACCTCAAAGGGACTTTTCTTGATGCATGCTATCCCTTTATATTCTTTATCCCATTACCTTATTTTATTTTCTTCATAGCAGTTATGACTATCTGAAATTCTTAGGTATTTATTTCCTTGTTTACTAATTCATGGATCTTACATTCTAGTGGGATGAGAGACAACAAACAGTTGATCCTTGAACAACACTGGTTTCAATTGCACAAGTCCACTTACACGTGGATTTTTTACAACACTGTTAATGTGTTTTCTCTTATGATTTCCTTAACATTTTTCTTTTCTCTAGCTTACTTTATTTGTAAGAATACAGTATATGGGGGTGCCTGGGTGGCTCAGTTGGTTGACTGTCTGACTCTTGGTTTCGGCTCAGGTCATGATCTCAGGGTCCTGGGATTGAGCTCCTGTCGGACTCCATGCTCAGCACGGAGTCTGTCTGAGTCTCTTCCTCTGCCCCTCTCCCCCCTCATGTGTGCACACACTCTCTCAAAATAAATAAACCTAAAAAAAAATAATAATTTATATATGCATAGTATGTGGGTTTTTTTTTAAAAAGATTTTATTTATTTATTTGACAGAGAGCACACGCAAGCACAAGCAGGCGGAGTGGAAGGCAGAAGCAGGCTTCCAGCTGAGCAGAGCCTGACACGGGGCTCAATCCCAGAGCCCTGGGATCATGACCTGAGCCAAAGGCAGACGCTTAACCGACTGAGTCACCCAGGCGCCCCCATAATATGTGATTAACACATAATATGTGTTAATCAACAATTTCTTTTATTGGTAAGGTTTCTAGTCAACAATAGGATATTGGTAGTTAAGTTTGGGGAGTCAAAAGTTGCAGATGGATTTTCACCTGTGCAGGGGTTACATAGTCCCTAATCCCCATGTTGTTCCAGGGTCGATTGTAATGTTATGTGAGGATATATGCTATGCAGAAATACAAAGCAGGCTAAGAGAGAGATATGGGACACTTGAGCAGAATGCCGATGGAAATGAGGGAATCATCTGGGTATCTGGGAGAAGGGCCTTCCAGATTGAGGGAACAGGGAGTGCAAAAGCCTTGATATAGGAGCATGCTTGCCCTACTTGTGGAATAGCAAGGAGGTTCTTATGTGAAGAAGTATGGGGAGGGGTAGTTAGAGCACTTCGGGCTCTGTAGACCTTGGTTAAGGACTTTGGTTTATATCCTAAGTAAGATGGAAAGTCACTGTAGGTTTTGAGCAGAGAAGTAACATGCTCTACTTTTATTTTTTAATCTACTTTTTTAAAGGATCATTCGGGCTGCTGGCAAAATACAGGGCATGGGGGGGTCAAGGTTGGAAGCTCTCCCAAGGGTGGCCAATTTGTCCTAGTTTACCTGACTTCCCTGGTTTTAGCATCGAAAATCCTGTGTCCTGAAAAATTCCTCAGTCCCAGGCGAAATGGGATGGCTGGTCACCCTACGGGGAGACCAGTACTCCAAGTGGGGGAGGGTGGTGTCTAGAATGCAGTGATAGTGATAGGAAAGAGGTCATGTTCAGAATGTGTGTTGAAGGCAAGGCCTACTGATTGTGCTAATGGAGTGAAGGTGGCTATGAGGGAATGAAAGGAGTCAAGGGTGACTTGCAGGCTCTTGGCCTGAACAACTGGAAGGACAGAGTTGCCATTTAGAGAGAGGAGGAAGGCAGGAGTAGGTTTTGGAGGATGGCTGCTCAGGAGTTTGGTTTGGGGCATATTGGTTTGAGATAACTTAATAGACTTAATCCCCTTAATGTCAGCCAGGCTGTTAGGTGAGCGAGTCCAAAGTCCTGCAGAGCAGTGTGGGCTGGAGATAGAAAGTGTGAGTTGTCAGTGCATGTGTAATAAATACTTAAAGCCATGAGTCTGGATGTGATCACTGAGGGAATCAATGGAGACAGAGGGCTGAGGACTGAGCCCTGGGGCAGGCTGGCATTTAGAGATCAGGGGAAAGAGAAATCAGCGAAGAGACTGAAAAGCAGAAGCCAGTGAGATAGGAGAGCCGAGTGTAAGGGGAACCTGGAGGGAAATCTGGGCTGAATAGTGTCCCCAGTCACACGTCGGGGGGCGGGGGGTTATAAAGGGGGAAGTAATTAAATGGCGCCAGTAGCTGAGCTAGGCCCAGGGGTGCAACCTCAGGGAGGCAGACTTGGGCTTCGTTAGGGAAGGGCTTTCTAACTGAGCTGCCCCAGGAGGTGTGGCAAGTCACACTCGGGTGAGTCCTGCGGCACTGGCTGCTGGGTGGGGGACATTTACCCCCAGGATTCAAGCATCTGACTGGAGCTGGACCACACAACTCTCTAGGTCCCTTCAAACTGGACATGATGGGATTTGGGGAAGCCAACAGAAACAACTGTCACGGAGTTGGGGTGGGGGGTACTGAGCTGGGCCTTGAAGGATAAGTAGGTGTTCAGTCCAGGGGAAGTGGGAAGGGCACTCCTAGGTGGAGGAGCAGTGTGAGCAAAACTCTAGAGATGTGAGTAGGCTGGGTCTGTTCCAGAGTCCGGCCTGGTCAGAGGGCAAGGTGTGTGAACGATAACGGAGGACGGTGAAGCTGAAAAGAGATGTAGGGCTGGTTGGTGGGGCACTCCTACAGGGCCTGATGCCCAGGAAACACTTGCTAACACTTGTTAGTTAGAAAGGTTATAGAAGTCTTGAGGGTGGGGCGCCTGGGTGGCTCAGTCAGTTAAGTGTCTGCCTTTGGTTCAGGTCATGATCCCAGGGTCCTGGGATGGAGCCCCACGTCAGGCTCCCTGCTCAGCGGGGAGTCTGCTTCTCCCTCTGCCTGCCGCTCCCCCTGCTTGTGCTCTCTCTCTCTTTCAAATAAATAAAACCTTAAAAAAAAAAGGTCTTGAAGGCAAGGCTGCCCAAAGCTCTGTGTGCTCCCTGCCGCATTCCTCCCTGGTGACAGGTATCCATCAACTGTTTCTTGAAGCCCAGAAACATGGATAGACCCCTGAGACACCTGGGGGCTTCTCTGTGGGTTCACCATAAAAGGTGGGGGGCAGACAATTCAGTGGGTGGGTCAGTCCCTGGCAGTAGAGACACACTAGGCCTACGAGACACCATTGGATAGAGTCCCTTCCTTCCATCAACCCAAGACTTCACAAGCACTGCCTCTAGAATGTTTAATGCTCAGAACCCAGTGACCTCACCTTTAGGGAACAATGGGACTAAGCATTCCAGGGCCTTCTATTGGCTGGGCAGATGGGTAGGTGAGCTCCCTCTCCCCAGAGCCATCAGCTGGGGACCAAGGCTCGACCTTATGGATTCCCAGCAGGAGGACCTGAGCCTCCCTGGTGGTAAATGCCCTTCCGGTCCCTGCCTCTTGCCTTGTGCCCCTGGTGTGGGGCGGACACTCAGGGAAGACCTTTTACATGGATGAGTGGTGGCCTGTATGGAGGAGTGATAAGCAGTTCGGGTATACTTTCCTCTAGAAAACTAGGGGTTGAGGGCAGAGATCATGTTTCTCTGCTGAACCGGAGAGGGTTACAATGAATACCCTAGGACCATCACAGCTGAATGGGTAAGGGGTATGGTGGAATGGGATGGGACACTGGTGTCCCCGTCCCCTATAAACTTACTTCCTTGATGGGTTTTGCCTTTAGTAAGGCTTCTCAATCAGATAGATTGGATGGGTCCAGGGTTGGGAACAAGAGGCTTGACCAAGTCTGGGCTGGTCATGACCCCTCTAGACCTAGCTTTCCCGACCTGTAAAGGGCCAAAGGTGGCCTCTTAAGCTCCCTGGAAATCTAGCGTTGACTGAATAAGAGACTGATGAGGCAAGTCAATGAGGAGGGAAGGGAAGAATGGAGGAAGTGGTTAAGTGGGTGGGATAATTGATGAACCGGATAGGGAGAGGAATGTGAAATAGCTCAGGCCCCAAGTTAGAGCTATCAACCAGCTTGCCTCTTTTACTTTCTTGCCTCAGTGTGGGTCTCACTGTACTTCGGATTCCTGGGACTGTGTTCTGTGGTAACCGGCGGCTGCATTCTCTTTCTGCACTGGAGGAAGAACTTGCGGCGGGAAGAGCGTGCCCAGGAGTGGGTGGAGGTGATGAGGGCCGCCACGTTCACCTACAGCCCGCTGTTGTACTGGATTAACAAGCGTCGGCATTATGGCATGAACACAGCCATCAACACGGGCCCTCCTCCTACTGTCACCAAGACTGAGACGGAGGTCCAGAATGCAGATCCTCTATGGGATTTGGACATCCCCGCGGGCA